AGGGGAAGGGAAGGGAAGGGAGGAAAGGAAGGAACAAGAAAGAGATCACTAAGAAGATTCTATTTCCTCATTCCTCAAAAAGATTTTTGTGTTTGTTTTCTGGGACAGGATCTCGCTGTGTAGTTCAGGCTGGCATGGGACTCACTATGTAGCCCAAGCTGTCCTTGAACTCATGGTGACCCTCCTGTCTCAGCCTCCTGAGTACTGGGGTTGTAGGCATGCACCACCCCACCTGGCTTCTCCGAAGATTTTGCTACCTGAAAGTAGGGGGGTTCTCTTACACAAGCTTAGCTGTGGTGTAAGTGTGGGGATGGAAAAGTGCTCCACCCCCAGATGTCCAGGCCAGTGAGATTTCGCCAACAGAACCACCGGTATCAGCAAGAAACAGGACAGGACCACCCCAAGAAGTCCCCTGCCCTCCCACTCGGCCTCCTTCCCGTGTCCAGGGATAACCACAGTCTTCATGCCCAACCCACGGGCCCCTCCTGCCTGGTTTTGAACTTCACGCAAATGGCATCACGCCGTGTGCACTGTGCACCTGGTGTGTATCGGGCGCTTGAGACACACTGTGCTCTCAGAGGCGGCACTGGGTCTTTCTCGTGTCTGTAGTTTTCCATTGTGGGAAAGTGCAGGGCTCTGCTTCCCCACTTTCGTGGGTGTATATTTTGTTTCTGGCTCTGGGTTGTTAGGAATGCACTCCCGGGAGCCTGCTGTGTGTGTGACCTTTGGTGGCCCTACAGAGACTTTCCTTTGCACATTGCTGGATCACAAGTTACGTGTTCAAGTTTAGCAGACACCACCAAAAAGTGTCCCACCACACCGGACCACTTGGCACACCCCCCGGCAGAGCGCGAGAGGCCTGCCGCCCCACGGCACATGGAGTTGCCCGTTTTGGGTTAGCCATCCGGTCGCTGTAGTTCATAGAACCTGAAGTGTCCCTCAACTTGAATGGGGAACAGTTATATTCTTATTTTTCATAAACCTACACTGAAACTAAAGTTTTGCTTTCAGTATAAACATAAGCCATAAATCAGTGTATCAGCAGAATCCGTCACTTTGTCACCCACAGAAATTGTCACTGCAGTTGTTCCAGACATCACAGAATCAAATGTTTTCACTCAGGCCGGGCATGGTGCTGCACACCTGTAATCCCAGCAGTGTGGGAGGCTGAGGCAGGAGGGTTGCAAGTTTGATCTCAGTCTGCTAACTTTAGTGAGATCCTGTCTCAAAATAAAAAATAAATAAGGCTGGGGATGTAGCTCAATGAAAACGCCCTGGATTCAATCCCTAGTACCACCAAAGCAAAAAAAAAAAAAAGCAAGAAGGGTCCCAGGGCTCTGCTGGCTCCACAGCAGCCAGGGCAGAGGGGCGGGTGGGCCGCTCATCCTCATGGGCACGTGGCATTCACACCAAGAGAGACTTCGCTGTCTTCTCATGCGGCCTTCTGCCCCCTGCCCCTCCAGCTTTCTTCGGGAAGTACCTCAACGAGTACAACGGCTCCTACGTGCCGCCCGGCTGGAAGGAGTGGGTCGGACTCCTGAAAAACTCCCGCTTCTACAACTACACGCTGTGTCGCAACGGGGTGAAGGAGAAGCATGGCTTCGACTACTCCAAGGTGAGCTGCGCGTCCGGGCGGGAGCTTCGCCTGTCCGCGCGGGGGCGGCCTGACCCCAGGGCCCTGCACCCGAGGCCGACACCCACTGAAACCCGTGACCTGCAGCGCCACCCTCTGCCGTCAGACTGCATGTCTCAGAGGATCTCTGAACCGCTCTCCCGTCTGGCGTTGCAGAGTCTCCCGGCGCAGGGCCCCTCCCACCTGGCGTCTGTTGAGGTCGGCGGCAGCGTTGCGTCCTGCTCCTGCCGCATCAGGTCGTCTGCTGGTTTTACTCTTATCGGGGTGGTGGGTGCTTCCACTTCAGGGCCGCTGTCAACAGCTGCTAGGACGAGTCTAGCACCTCTCCCTGGGCGCCTGGGTCCCTCTCTGTGTACCACACCAGGCGCGGGGCTGCAGGGTGCAGAGCTGCCCGAGTGCCTGCGGAAGCCACCTCCCTCCGAGGTCATTTCCATTTCCAGTCCAAGTTCAGCTGAGGGACGGTGAAGTGCATGGCTCTTACGAGGGCCCTCGATGGACCTTCGTGCATTCCTAGCCCAAAACAGGGAGCAACCCCAGCCCCAGGAGGACCCCGGACCCCTTTCCGTCCAAACTTCCACGCCAGTGCTTGGGTTGTCTTTGGCGTTCTAGAACCTGTGCTTCTTCCCGCCGGCTGTTCTTGCTCCACACGGCGGGTGTGAGACTCACCCACACAGTGCACAAACCTCTGATGTGTCCCATCGCCTCAGTAATGTTCTCTGCACGGATGGATGGCAGGAGGTCTGTCCCTCCGGCAACTGATGGACGTTTGCGTTGTCTCCAGTTTGAATCCATCTTGGGCTAAGGTGCTGTGCGCCTCCTTGTACGTGGCTTGAGGTGACATCTGTACCTGTTTCTCTCCCTGACGTGACTTGTGGGGACACACTGAGCCAGCTGACGCTTCCAGCCCCAGCGCGCAGCGCTCCCCCGGCTCCAGACTCCTCCTCCGGGCTTGGTGTTGTCAGAGCCGCCTTGCTGTGGGGCAGTGATGCTGCCTTGTAGTTTCGTCACAACGGTGTTTGAGGCCCAGGCGTGTCAAACCATGCAGAGCGTGCGGAGAGCCCCTTTGCACGTGATAAATACTCAACCCCTTAGCTTAGCTCGGGGCAGGAACGGATTCTGTGAATGTTTCGGTCTTTACAAGTCAGGCGGTCTCTGTCGCAGCCTCCCCATTCTGCCACCGGAGTGTGGGCGCGGCCATGACCGTATGAACGGCAACCGGCATGGCTGCCTTAGCCGTCGCTGGCAGAGCTCCCGAGACCACCAGCTTCACACAGGAAGAGGGTGTTTGGCCCATGTTTTCCAGGGTTTCCGGCCGTGGTTTTTGGGCCTGTGGCTTCACAGGACAATGGCGGGGGCCAGGGTCCCAGGACGCCCTGAGGACAATCCTAGCAGTCTGACCTCTTCCTATAGGCCCACCCCTCAAAGGTCCCACCGTTCCCACAGGCGGGGACCAAGCTCTCACCACGGGGCCTTTGGGGGACATCGTACAGCCAACCGCGTGCCAGCGACACCATTCACAGAAATGAGAGCGGGCCTGACTCGGCCCAGGGGTAGCGTCTGCTGACCGCTGGCGTGGATGAGGGTGGTGGTGAAGAGGAGGAGGAGAGACTGCCGTCCCTGTTCCCCACGTGCAGAATTTATGCAGTGCAGTGGACATGGCCAACTCTTCCTGCCCTGTCCGAGCCTGGGTCCAGTCCGGCGCACACACTGCAGGGACAGTCTGTCCAGACTGTTAGATCCCCTCCTCTGCTTCCCCGTGCTCGCTGCCACCAGCCCTGGGCCTGGCTCACTGTGACAACCCCGGATTCGCTGGGCTATGGTGGCACTTCCTGAATTGTCCTCCAGGGCCCGGGGATGGGCACTTGTGCAGCAGGGCAGCAAGCTGGGAGCAGGGGGCAGGAGGGAGCAGTGGGGGGTGCGGAAAAGGGCCTGGCAGGCCGGGCCCGGTACAGCCACCCATTCGGATTTTTCAGTGGAAACCACAGATTCGCACTTTTTACCTCTGAAATCTCCGGATTTGCACATACCGGCAACTAATTCAGCCCTTGCTAAGCTCCTGCGTGAGTCAAGCATGCCGAGCCGGGCCTGAACGGTGGGCTGCAGCCTCTGGGGTGCGTCGCACTGTCCCTCTTCCTCCACCTTCAGGACGCGCCGCGAGCGTCCTGTGTGAGTCAGCGCACGAGGTTTGGAGCCGCAGCTCTGACACCTTGTGTGTCACCTTGGTACTTGGGTACGCCACTCGCTCCCGAGAGCCACACTGGGCTCTGCAGGTGGACACCCCCACCTCACAGTGAGAACTTCTGTTTGTTGAACACCTACTACGTGCTGGGCACTGTGTGAGTGTTTTATGTGAAGTATTTCCGGTTTTCACGGCATCGCGTGTGGTGAGTGGACTGCTCGAGCGTGGTTGTATTGCTCACTCAACCCCTCCCACAAGTACTTATCGAGGGCCTGCTGGGTGCCGGCCACTGCTCTGGGTGCCAGCTCCTCAGGGGTAACAAAAGCAGACCCACTGGGCGTCCTTGTGCGGCTCACAATCTGGCACCTAAGTGTGTGTTGTACACTATGAAGTGACGTGCACATGTGTTACGGTCAGAGCGCCTCACCACAGTGTACACACACACACACACACACACACACCATCCCTGTCTCCTGTTCTGTCAGCCCAAGAGTGAGCCATGCCAACCCCACCGGCCTTGCTAGGTGTTACACCATCCTGAAGGACCCTCACTAGTGCCCCTCAGCCCCGCCTTTAACCACAGCTCCCTCAGCTTCCCTCGCATGAGCTCTTCTCAGCCTGCCCGAGGTACAGGATGATCCTTTCTTGACTCAGACTGGCTTCTTTCGGTTGTTTGTAAACAGGAATTCAACTCCAAACGGTTTGACTGCAGAGGAAACACATTAGCGTACAGAACTGAAAATCCAGCAGTAATGGAATCAGGCATGGTTGGACCCAGGGACTCAGAAGTCATTTCTGCTCTCTGCTCTGTGTTCTTGGTCCCCTCGCCTCGTTTGCACACTGACTGTCCCTCCCCTCTTTGTAGCAGTATGGCCACCCTGCCATCCTCTCACTTCCTGCCCTGCTACACGCTTGGGGGTCTTTTCCAGGATCCCCAGCAAGTCTCACTGCTTCTCATTGGCTCGGAACCATCACATGTCTGTCCCTTAGCCAATCAGCATGCGTGCTCCTGAGCCTTCCCAGAACACAGGCCCAATAAAATGGAGTTGCCACTGGCTGAGCAGCCAGAGAAGCCGTCCCCTTCCCTTTGTGGAAGCACAGCACATTCGGGCCCTCTTGCCTTCAACAGCAGTCAGGGCTGATGTCTTCCTGTGTGTACATCTGGCAATCCAGGCCCCAGGGGACAAAAACCACGCGTCTCCCATGCAGCACCCCCTCGTACCCCCTGGGCCTCGTTCAGCACATAATCAGCCTCCATTACTTCCTTAGCAATTAATTGCAAAGGCCTGGTGAGGGAATTGAGCAGCCCTGCTGGACTTCTTGGGAACAGAAACTGTAGTCTCGGAGGGTTTGAACACACCCTCTGCCTTCTCCCAGCCTCCATGCCGGCAAAGTCTCTAAATATCCTGCAGACCGCTCCCTCCTTTCAGGCCGAGCTCCGCTCGGTGCAGCCTGGGAATCAACTTACCCAGGGTTCCCTGGGGCCCGTGGGGCTGAAGCTAGAACATCTGCTCTTTTGCCTGCTTCCTGCCACGCTTGGCACCCTGTGAACGGGAGGAGCCCCTGAGATGGGTGCCAGGATTCCTGGGCTGCCGGCTACCAGGGGCATGGTGACAGGGTCGGCAGGGGGCTTCGGGGCCAGAACTGGCTCAGGTCCAGGGTTCGGGTCCTGGCAGCTTGGCAGACAAAGGGGACAGCGCTAAGCTGGGGCTGGTAGCCCAGGCCTGTGCCTGGTGTCTCGGTCCATCTGTGGCCACCGCAGGATGCCTGAGTCTGGGGCCTTGACACGGAAAAGAGATCTGTTTGGCTCGTGATTCTGTCTGGATGGTCCAGACAGCGTGGCCCTGGCATGTGGCGCGGGCCCCCTGGTGGCCTCAGCTGGCAGGAGCTGGCAAGTGTGGAAGGATCTGGTGTCCCAGGCAGCAGAAGCATGCGAGCCCAGAAAACCAGACTCACTTTTTTAAGACCTGCTCTTGAAGGCACCAGCCCAGTCCCAGGAGTTTTGAGCAGGCATCCCAGGAAACCTAACCCACTCTGGAGAGATGGGCTTTAATCCCTCCCCAGTCACACACACACACCTCAGCCCAAGAACAGTTTTAGACTTTCAGTTAGTTTTTAAAAAGTAAAAGGTAAAAACTGAAGAGTAATTTTCACATAATATTTAGAAACAGTGGAATATTAGTCTACCTTCAAAAAGAGGTCAGTACTGCCAGGCATGGTGGTGCAGGAGGATCTCTGTGAGTTTGAGGACAGCCTGGGCTACATAGTGAGTTCGAGAACAGCCTGAACTATATAGAGAGACCTTGTCTCAAACCTCCCACCTCCCACCTCCCACTAAAAAGGAAGAGAGAGAGAGATCAAGCCTATCATGTGCAGAAACACCAATAGACACTGACAACAATGTGCTAAGTGCAATAATGTGCTACAAGCACAGAAAGACACCCCCGCCTCTTTTGGTGTTTTGGAGACAAGGTCTTCCGTGTAGTTCAGGCTGGCTTTGAACTCACTGTGTAGCATAAGCTGGCCTCGAAATTGAGACGATCCTCCTTAGTGCTGCAATCACAGCAGCATACCCCACACCCGCTGCCCCCAACTGAGGAATCGAAAGTCATGAAATGCACAGAAGCAGGGAGAAGGGTGGCCGCTGGGGAGGGAGGGGACAGGGGAGTCGTTGGTTTCCAGGGCTGCAGTTCGGGCAGTGTGCAGGAGGAGATTCCGGATGACAGCTCTGCACTTAAGGACAATCCTGCACTCTACACTTAGAATTGTGTTGAGAGTTGATCTCATGTTTTCTTTTTAATCACAATCAAAACAATTTTTTTTTGAGACAGGGTCTCGCTGTGCAGTTCAGGCTGGCCTTGAGCTCACTTTGTAGCCCCGACGGGCCTCAAACTCACAATGATCCTCCTGCCTCAGCTTCCCGAGTGCTGGGATTACAGGCGTGCACCACTACACCCAGCTCACAATAAATTTCTTAAGAATGATTTTCATGACACATGGAAACTTGAGTCTGGCATCAAGCTTTCCCAGAGCCCGACTCGACCGTGCCCTCTCCTGGCGTGGCTCTGGTGCTGCCCTGGTGCTTCCCAGCCTACAGCGCCTCAGTGTCTCCCGTGTGCACTTACAGGAAAGTGTGACTGATGCCTGCTCAAAACTGCTGTGTACAGCCTCTCGCTAGTAATTTTGTTTGGGGGGGGGGATAAAAAGATGGACAAGACCCCCCCAACACAAAGGCCTTGGCACTAGCTGTGGGTGCCTTGCTTAATCTGTGGCCTCCATTTCTCCATCTGTAGGATGGGTACAGCGTCCTCTTTGCAAAGTTGCCATGCTGATCAGCCGAGTCCATGGATGGTAACTGTGGGCCCCTGCTCAGGATGGGTTTTGCGGTGCCGGCTTCACTTCGTGCTGTGCTCTCTGGCACTCACCCCGCCACGTGAAGACAGGACAGTTCGCCAGGCACACTTTGCTAGGTGCAGAGTCTGAGCCTCTAACAGTGTCAGGCCTGGAGCCCCCCCAGCCAGCAAGTCGTAAGCTGGGATAAACCCGGTTGTGACTCCAGAACCACCTGCGTGAAGTCTCACGGCGCCTCGAAGGGAAGCAAATCTCTTGGTAAACAAACTGCCAGGAAGGCCCAGGGCTGAGGGGTCAGCACTGTGATTTGCAATGAAAATTAGAAAAATCTCTGCCTGTGGAAGCCAGCAGCTCAGGAAAGGGAGACCCTTTACTCAAGGCTGACTTAGCAAGCCACCTTCCCCCGCTGCACCCCACGCCAGGGCGGGCCCCAGAGCCCTGGAGTCAGGCCAGGCGCACAGCGACCCGTGGGACTCATGTGGGCCTCTCCAGCGGAAAAGGTAGCCTGGAGACAAGGAGACTGCAGTTTAGGAGATGCCCTGTGAGACTTGGGGTGAGCTTGCCTCAGCCAAAGACCAACAAAGCAGAAGTTCGGGCTTTGGGGGGCAAGGATGTGCGCAGGGCCCCTCTGGGCTCACCGGTGCCTTCTTGTCCTTCGTCACTTTCCCCAGCGGCCAGAGCAGTCATTCTTCAGAGAGCCAGGGCATCCCAGCTCTACACAGCACCAAGCACCACAGGGCAGGACCCACCCGCCGCCACGCCCAGCCCTGCCGGCACTGCTGACCCTTGCTAAGTGAGCACGTCAGCCGTCTGTGTAGCAGAGAAAACAGAGACAAGGGCGATGGGGGTGAGGGACCGACCCACACGGCAGAGACCGTTGAGCTCCATACAGAGCGCTGAGGCGTGAGCAGTGCTGCCCACCACCACAGTTGCATGCCCCAGCTGCCCTTTGCGGACACAGCCATGGCCGGCGGCTGCTTGGAGAACGCGTGCTTCCGCCCAGAGCCGCAGGCTCGCAGTCTCACAGAAGCATGGGTTAAGTGGGTAGCAACTGGGGGTGCGCCCAGGAAGGCCCCAGAGCAGGTATCCAAGCCACCGCCGCTCTCTCCAGCTGTCATTTCCAAAGCCTGACAGGAGCACAGTCCCAAGCCCTGGCATCGCAGGCCTGCCGGAAGCGTGCCAGAGCAAAGTCTGGGCCTGCTCGCTCCGGCCGCCCCGCCCTGCCCTGGGTGTCGGGGAGTGGCTGGCCCCAGCAGGGCATGCAGAGGGGCAACCTCCCCAAGGACGATAGGGCCAGCAAGGCTCCCCTCCTGTCTGACTGACCCCCAGCTCTGAATCTCAGAGTCTTCCCCCACGGCCCACACACACACCCCAAACCCAGCTTGTCCAGATCTGAACTCTGCACGCACACACACGCCCATCCTACCCTTGCCCGCTTTCTTTCTCCTGGACCCAGTTCGGTGCCCTTCCCCCAAGCACCCAGACAGGGAGCCACAGGAGCAGGGAGCTGCTCTCCTACCTTAGCTGCCCCTCAACTCAGTCAGCAGCCTGGTCTGACCCCTCCCGGACAGGACTACAATGTCCCCACCACCAAGGCCCAGACCCCCGGTCCTTCACTCTGGCCCCTGTGAGTGGCCAGAGTGGTGGCTTTCTCTTGGTGACCTCCCCTGGGGTCCCCACCCAGTCCACATGGAGGGAGGAGGGACGTGGTGTCCGTGCAGATGGAGGTGAGCGGAGACCGAGCACAGGAGTGACCTCTGAGCGGACCGATAAGGATGAGCGGCCGTTAGGCACGCAGAAAACCCACCAAGCACCCGGCCGGTCATAATTACTGGCTTAATCTTATCAAGAGCCAGCTGTGCAGGGCGCTGTGGCAGGAGCTTAACGGCTATTAGCACTTGAAACTCTCAGCCGACCTAAGAGGCAGGTGCAGAAATCCAGTGTGGGAGCAAGGATGTCGGAGCCTGCGGGAGCCCGAGCTTCCCTTTGCAGGTCTCCTGTCCTCTCCGGTCCTGCCGTCTCTCCCGGAGGTGACCAGGACTCTGAGCTTGGTGCTTACTGCTTTATGTCAGTGGCAGGTATCTTAGACATTGTACGAGATGGTGTGTTCCTAGACTTTTATAGAAGTGATGCCGTGTCTCACCCAGTACGACTTAAGACTTGTCCCTGTTGTGCCGTTAGCCATCGTCAGATGAAGCCATGTGTGGCCCATGTTGATCTGTGTGGCTCTAGTTTGTTGTTTTTTCACTGCTGTTCACACCCGCTATTTATTGTCCTGGGAAAGGAGGGTCGTGGAAGATCACTGGAAATGTTAATTGACCGCCAGCTAACAGTCTTCTAGCTCTAGAACCCCGCAGTGAAGGGAGCTTGATTGTGAAGAGCCACAGTCCTCTTTCCCCCCATGCCACTGGCTGGAGGCAGTGAGTTTCAGCGTGTGGCTCCCTTTGTCACTTTAAAAACACATCTAGCAGGGTGTAATGGTGCACCCCTATAATCCCAGCACTCAGGAGGCTGAGGCAGGAGGACCACTATGAGTTCGAGGCCAGTCTAGGCTACATAGTGAGTTCAAGACCAGCCTGAACTATGTAGCTGTGTCAAAAAAAAAAAAAGTCTAATACCGTTAGATCATACCCACAACTATAGCAGCAACTCTGTGAATTATATAATATACTCTATATAATAGAGTGAACAAAGCCCTTTCTGAAACATTTTCTTACCATTTAGCACTCCACTAAAAGCAGTTGAGGAAAAAGTATATAAGTAGCAAGTGGTGCCCTGCCCTTCTCTCCTTCCCCAGTCCTCGCTAGCGAGCCTTGTAAGTTTTTCCTTGATGCTCAGAGCTTCGAGGTCAGGGGTTTGGCTCCTCCTCTCTGCTCTGCTTTCCCCCTTCTGCTCTGCCACTGGGCCTGTCCCTTACAGTGTATCTTGCACAACTTTCCACACCAGTAACCACGGACCTACTGCCGTGTTCGTGTCTGCTCAGCATGGCCTGGTGTGACAGCAGTCCTGTCAGTCACCCATCCCCCTCTGCTGCTGGTCACTGCATGGTGTGTCTGCCCGGTAAGCAGCAACCCAGTGGTGTCCCCCCCGTCCGTGCACGCATGAAGCCATCACAGTCAGGACAGAAGCTGATGCCCCCCCGCTTTTTTTTCCTCTCTCTAAAATAATCTTTCCTTTTGAGAGTGATACTTTGGGGCAGATGCTTTTTAGGAAGCAGAATAAATGTCAAGAACTCAAAACCATCAGGAGGAATCAGCAGCAAAGATTTACCAAGTTTTAAAAGGGTTTATACATGCCTTAACTTCTTTGTTGAGCTTTTAAAGCCCTCAATGTCTGGCTGGTTTTCTCCAGCTCTTCTCTCCTCCTGCTCCTACAGGCTGGTTCCTCAGTTTTTTGAAGATTACTCTGTGTGTGTGTGTGTGTGTGTGTGTGTGTGTGTGTGTGTTGCTCCTTGTATCATCTCCATGTTTACCTGCTGTCCTTGTCATCCTCTTTCTGATGCCACCCAGCCGTCTTCTCTGGTCCTGGTCTGCATGGCAGGCTCTCTCTGCCGCAGAGCCCTTGCATTTGCTATTCCTTTTGCCCAGAATGCTCTCAGTATCAATGATTACCAAGCCTGGCTGCACACTGCAGTCCTCTGGGTAGCTTTTAGAAAGTCTGTCACCTGGGCCGAACCACAGACCTACAGCACCTGGCCTGGGTGTCAGTGAAGCCCCCAGGGGCTCTAGCAGGGGCTGGGCCTGAAGTCCAGGGACACAGCTCTTCCTACCCAGTTCCTGCTCATCATTCAGGTCTCAGCTGCCACCTCCTCAGACAGGCCCCCTGGCAGAATTACGTTCCCCCACCCCAGCTCCCGGCTCTCAGATGTCACATCTCCTTGTCTTATTTCCTTCACTCATCACACCTTGTAACCATCCTGGTTCTTTAGTCACAGACCGGGGTGTGCCCACCCTGCAGTATGGAACCCACCCAATCCCCCCCCACCCCGAGGGCCTTGAAAATACTTCAGGCTGAGAAAGCAGACTCAGGAGTCCTGACGGCACCACTTACCAGCTGTGTGGCATTGGACCATACACTAAACTTCTCTGTGCCTTAAGTTCCTGTTTGAAACATTGGAATGGTCGCCATAGCAACATTCTATAACTGTCTATCAGGAAGGAGTGACAAATGGCAGTTTTCCCCGGTGCTCCCAAATCTGTGCTCTGCTGTTTCCTCCTCTGAGCTTCGCCCCATTCTGTATATTTTACTTGCTGATTTACGGTCTGCCTGGCCCCGAGACTTGTCGGCTGCACAAGGGCAGGGTTTGTTTTGTTCACCGCTGTGACTCAGTCAATGCCTGGCACATACGGGCACCCAGTACAGATGCACGGCTCCTCACCACTCTCCTCTCTCCCCCGCCAGGATTACCTCACAGACCTCATCACCAACGACAGCGTGAGCTTCTTCCGCACGTCCAAGAAGATGTACCCGCACAGGCCGGTCCTAATGGTCATCAGCCACGCAGCCCCCCACGGCCCCGAGGACTCGGCCCCCCAGTACTCACGCCTCTTCCCCAATGCATCCCAGCACATGTAAGCCTCAGCCCTGCCTGGCAGAGCCACTGGGTAGCTTGGAGGTGAGAGAGTCAGGCTTTAGGGACCGCGGTAACGTGCCTCCTCTCTCCTCCTCCTGGGTAGAGACCCCAGAAGCACACCACGTGTCTGGGGCAATGCGGGGGCCCAAATCCAGGCAGCCTGGGTACAGACCAGAGCAGGAGGCAGGGCTCTTAACTTGGGACCCAGGTCCTCCCACCGTGAGCTGTGGACAGCACTGTAATTTGAAGCTTCCTTTATGAGCCTGTGGATTTTCTCTCCTACATTTAAGAGCATTCTTCGGGGAAGGGGTCCTGAGTCCCACCAGCCGCTGACCGTGGCGGGCTCTATGCTGCACTCATCACACGGCACCAGGTCCCTCCGTACTCACCGTGGGCCTTGGGGTGTCAGGTATCCATCGCCACATAACCACGCACGTGGAAGTTTAGCCGCATGAGGCGACAGCGTCTGCGTGTCAGGAACCCGGGCGTCGCTTCCCTGAGGTCCTGCTCAGAGTCTTCGCTTCAGGCTGAGGCGAGGTGGCAGTCGCCGTGAGCCTTGCCTGGGGCTCGCCCTCCTACCGAGGTTTGTGGCATGCGGGCCTCTCCAGGGCTGCAGAGTGTCCAAACAACGTGATGACTTTCCCCAGGGAAGACAGTCAGAGAAAGAGAGGCTGAGGTGGAAGCTGCCATCTTTTATGACCTAATCTCCAAGTGACACCACACACTGCCATAGTCCCTTGGTCACACAGAACAGTCTGTGTAGGGCTGTGATGACCGGGAAGGGGGGATCCCTGAGGGCCATCTTGAAGGCTGCTCTCACGTGTGGTGTTCCCTTTCTGCAGATGAGGAAACAGGCATGGAAAGGGGAGGTAGCAGCTCCCTGAGGTCGCTTAGCTGCTAAATGGCACAGCGAGGGTTCAAATCCAGTCTCCGCTCGAGTGGCCCATCTCTGCCCACCCCTCTAGATGCCTCCATCCAGTTGGCTTGGTTTATCTTTCTAGAAAATGCTCTGGCTTCTCATTACCACAAGCCACCTCCCCCTTAGCCCTTATACTCAGCAGTCCTTGCTGTGACATTCCAGGGTGACAAGGACAGGGCAATTTGGAGTCTGCTGAATATTCAGAGTGTTTAATTTTCATTACGATCAGAATACATTGCCCTCCTCACCCTCCTCGCTGTAATTACTTTCTGACAGCACCGAGTGGCTCAGAGAGGGTAGCACTTGGGTGTTACCTTTGTCCCCTGGTCCTCAGGGGAGCAGACTGCAGATGATCACCCGGCTCCCCTCCACCCCAGGAGGGAGTCCCCAGCCTCCCTTCCCACCCCCAATCCCCGGGGTCCATGCCACCCGCCCAGAGACAGAGGCACAGAGGGTCCTGCACTGCCACCACAGCTCCTACAGAAGAGGGCTTGGCTGCACCCAGGCACCCCGAGTTGTGTGATGAGTTCTTTTAACGTTGCCTGCTCATCGACTGTCCCTTTGAACTGAAAATTTCAGAAATTGAAAATGAGCAGTACCCTCTATTGCTTGCTCAGAGAGTCCTCTTTGCCTCGTTAGGGTCAAGTTTGGAAGGCTCTTTTGTCCCTGGGGTATTATGACATCCAAAACAAAACCCCCCCAAAAAAATTCTATTTCATTATGACATTTCACTCAGTGGAGAAGGGCCAAGGAGGGGACAGAGCACACACATACAGCACAGCTGCTGCAGTCTTCGATCAGATCTCTCGTCCCCAGCAACACTGCCTTGTCCCTTGTCCAAGCTGACAGATACGGCTGCTGCCTCCACCGCCGCTGCTGCTTGCTTGCCCTCCCCCATTCGCCCGTCCCCCCCATGCCACACACATGCAGACACTCGTGTGGACAGACCATGTACACGCCAGACACAGAAACAGCAAGCCACGCCATATACACACACACACACACACACACACCATACACACATACCAACACATCCACACAGATACACACAGACCCACAGGTACACAAATATAGTTATACAGACACACAGACACACAAGTACACACAGACACATAGAGACACAAAAATACACACCAAAGAGCATAGGCATGCTCACACACAGACACAGAGATACAAAGACACGGGTTAAACACACACACGCAGATACACAGGCAAACATACAGATGTACAAGCTCTCAGGTATGTACACACGCACGCACGCACGCACGCACGCACCCATCAGCCCTCCGAGCTCCCCGCAGAGGTCTTCCCGACAGCTCAGCCTCCGCTTTCCTCCCCTGGCCTGTGCTGCAGCCCGGGGAGTGGGTTTTGGGGCAGCCGTTCACACCTTGCAGACGCGGCACGAGGGCCCGGTCACACCTCCGCACCCCGCCGGGCAGAAGCAGCTGTTCCCCAGTGCCCGCGCCCTGCATTCCGCGTGGTTGCTCAGCAGGCGGAGGGGCCAGGCGGGAGCCCTGTCTACCGCATGGGCCCCCACAGCACGGCCCGTTCTTCTGGCCTCAGAATCCTCTCAGAGGGGTCCCTTGGAGAAGAGACTGCAGAAGTCACTGTGGTGACTTCCGACACGCAGCTGCCCTGCTCCGCTGGCAGCCCCCGGCCTCTCCTTTGGTGGGGTCAGGGATGACTGCTAAGAGTCACATCCTGGTCTGGGCCCTTGGAGCCTGGGGAACAGCTGTGACGAACCACAAGCCTCGCTGGCTCTGCCGACCCCGCCCAGCAGCAGCCCTTCTGGTCCTCAGTGGGGAGGAGGTCTTGTTCCCGAGAATGTTCTACACACAGGTCAGGCCCTGAGCCGGCCGCAGGGGAGAGCAGCCCTCTCGTAATCAAAGGAAGCGAGGGCCAGGGAGGATTTAGCAGCAGGAGGCTGCAGATCAGCCGCGAAGTCTAGAAGGAGTCTCCAGGCTGTGACTTCCTCCCGCTTCACATAGCAACGGTCTCCTGTCAGGCTGCTGAAAGCTGCAGCGACATTGTGTCTACCCAAGACCATTTTGATGATGGCATTTACGATGGCACTACGATCCTGATGTGCAGGTATAGGTGCGAGGGGAAAGAGTTGGCCTGCACTCACAAGACCCCTCCTGCCTCCCCTCCCTCCTGCAGTCCCTTGCCTCTTGATACCTGTTCTGTTTTGTCTTGTTTTTTGTCTTTTTGAGACAGGGTCTTGTTATGCACTTCCAGCTGGCCTAGAGCTCACTTTGTAGCCCAAGCTGGTCTCGAAGTCACAAAGATCCTCCTGCCTCAGCCTCCTGAGTGCTGGGATTACAGGCGTGCGCCACCACGCCCGGCTTGATACCTGTTCTGAAAAGCCCTTTGTCTTCACGCAGGGGACAGGGAGGCTGAAGCTTCCTCTGCAGCACGGACTGCAGGGGTGGGGTGTGAGGGGACCCTGGGCCTCGAGCATCATCAGACCTGCTGTGAGAGGTCCCACCTTCTCTGGGGTTGAAGTGCTGTTTCCCAGCAGTGGAGCACTGCACCCGGAGACCCTGCATGCTGGTGGGTGCCCCAGGTCCGCATGAGAAGGTGTGACAGAGGGTGCTGTTGGTTTGGGATGGAGGAATGCGTTACCAAAACCACACGGAGTCCGAGGCCAGACGCTGAGTTCACCTCTGTGTTTCTGCTGCTTAACCCTCCCGCAGGACCCTCAGTCAGTTTTGCCCCAGCACCGGTGACATGAGGACCTCAGCCTGGCCCTGGGCTCAGGAGGCGTTGGTGCCAGCACAGGGTGGCCGCCATCTTGGCTGCCCGAGTTGGAGCCCACTGAGTGCCTGTAGCAAGGCCATTCCCTCCCTCCTGCGCCGAGGAGAGTGAGAACAGTGCTGGCTCCTCAGACTGTTGTATTAAATGAGGTGATAGAGGCGGAGCCCTTTGACTGTGCCCAGCACACGGCGGCTGCTCAGTAAAGGTCACCACGCATTTGTTCCTGTCGTGCATCATCGCAGCTGCCGCACAGCAGGAAGCCCAGCGCCCTCAGCTCTCTCCCTCACTCAGGGAGACCCTGAGCTGGTCCCGAGCTCCTCTGACCAGCTCTAGTAAATGGGCGGCTTAAACAACAGGAAGAGTAATTGTGACAGTCAAGGAATGTGGGCATCGGGCTGCTAGCCTCAGAATTTGGGCCATATATGCACAACTATAATGTACTTGATCTTCAAATCCATTTCCAACCTTTTTAAACCAGAATTCATCCCAGAAAGCCATTCTGTAGACCCCTTACCCAGTGACTGGCACTAGGCACTCCCAGAGCAGCTGAGGGACACACACACACACTCACACGGCAGTTCTGGGAAATTAGAGCTGGCTGGCCTGCCGGAGGCTCTGACCTGGGCCCCCTCTGTTCTTTAAAAAGGGAGGTGACCAAACTCCAGAAAGTGTCACAGAAAGACTGGCACCAAGCTACGGCTTTGGCCTGAGAGGGCAGGAAAGGGACTGCTTTTCTCACTTTATGGTTCAAAGTGATTCACTGTTCTACTCCCAGTGGCTCGGACATTTTGTGAAATGCTGAGATAGTGTTTAGCAGAGCCCACGACACACAATGTCCCTCGTCCCCAAGGAGAGCAAGCCACCTATGATAGCCACTTATGCAAGGCGCACCTGGGGGCCCGAGCCGAGCAGCCAGGCCTGACCCCTGTGTGTCTGCCCCCAGCACACCAAGCTACAACTACGCGCCCAACCCGGACAAGCATTGGATCATGCGCTACACGGGGCCCATGAAGCCCATCCACATGGAGTTCACCAACATGCTGCAGCGGAAGCGCCTCCAGACCCTCCTGTCTGTGGACGACTCCATGGAGACGGTAGGTCCCCCTCCTGGGCGTCGCCTAAGCCCTGGCCCCCAGGGCTGGGAGCTCCCTGCTTATACCCGAAGGCCGTCAGCTAGAGGCAGGGAGAGAGAAATGCTATGGTGCTATCTAGACCAAGGAAAGTGGCTTGGAACAATCCAGGCCAAACCTCGGCCTTCCTTTTATTTTTTTTTTTTTTTGTACCGTGAATCGAACTCAGGACCTTGTGCTTGCCAGGTAGGAACTTGTACCACTGAGCCATATCCCTGGCCCCTGCCTTCCATTCTTGATCTTCCATTCTTGCTACCCCATGTGACAGCCACTTGTGGCTACTTTTTTCTTCTGCCATTGCATTTTTTACAGCTTTATTGAGATCTACTTCATACACCAGTAATTATGTTCA